ACTGAAACCGAGCCTTTCCAGGTCCTTCGTGCAGCTGTCTTTTCGACGCTGAGACGTCTCTGCTGCAGCCGCTGTTGGCTTGGACCGAAGCAGGGGAAAAGTTAGAAGGCGCGTGCCCGCGCTTGTGTGTTTGCAGCTGTCAGATTTCTCTGGCAGCGGAGCCTGTGTGACGATCCAGGGGGAGCCGCGCTGTACGCTGCTCGGCTGCTCGGCGAGGCGGCCACTTTGACTTGAGCCAGGGTGCGATTCGGGACTTTGACTTGTTTGTCTGTTGTGGGTGGCCGCCTGCGAGCGGCTTGGGGGCGGCTTGACGCCAGGCCTTGCTTCGGAAAAGCCAACATGAGGTCGTACTATGAAGCTTTCGGCGAGACGGCTGGTGGGTTCGAGGACTCAGTGGGCGAGTCCGAGCCGACTAGTGAATGGGCGGCGGGAGCTCGGAAGGGCTTCCATGGAGGCACGGGAGGTCTCTCCAGTGATCGGGACACTGGCAGGGAGACGAGCGACGATGAGTCAAGGTGGTGGAGTGCTTCCTCGCAAAAGCGCCGCCAGAAGTGGGACGGATGGAAGGAGGATGGCTCTTGGGAGGGCTCTTCTCCGGACCGCTGGGAGAGCCGAAGCTACGACGACCTCTCCGGGGGAAGCTGGAAGCCGGACGGCCGCCGAAAAGGCGGTTGGGATGAGAACTGGTCCTGGAAGACTCCTTCGGAGTCGGGGCAGGACCGCGACTGGGCTACGTTCGGAACCAGCTCACGCCTCTTCCCCGAGAACGGCATGGACGACGGCTTTGCGACTCACGGCGACGTGGCCACGGACGACTCCAAGGGCCAGGTGAAGGTCGTGGGCGAAGGGCGGAAGAGCACGAAAATCAGCAACAGCTACCCGCCCGTCTTCAAGGCGAAGCCGCAGGAGAGTTATGCCGAATGGAAGAGGAGTGTGGAGTTTTGGATAGGGGGTGAAGGAGACCAGCTGCCGGCCGACCTGATCGGCCCGAGGATGATGGTTCAGCTGAAGGACCGGGCGGCGCAGCTGGTGAAGCACCTCACCAACCAGGATGTGAATGGCCCCGACGGCAAAGACAAGATTTTTAAGACATTGGAGCGGGCCCCGATTATCCGGCAGCTGGACAAGCACCGCATTGACGAGCACAGGAGGAGGCTGTTGCAGCTGTCGAGGGCCCCGAGCGAGTCGATGGAGTCGTACGTGACGCGGGCCAGCATCTACCGGAGCCACTTGGCCGGCCTGGACAATTCCCTTGAGATGGGGGAAGCCTTTTATGTGGGTCACCTCCTGGACCACGCGAGGCTGTCGAAGAGGGACAGAGCGATGATCAAGACGAAGGCCGGCACCGAGACGGACGAGGAACGGGTCACCGGGGCGATGATCGATTTGGCTCTGGAGCTGGAAGGAGAAAGCGGCGTGCCGATCGGAGCGTCGGAGCCGAATATTGCCCGGAATGGGGAGGAGTGGTTGCTTCAGCGAGGTGAACGTCGCGGAATGCCTCCGCGAGTGACGGGACAGCCTCGTGGCACTTTCGCGGCCGAGGCCTATGGTGAGGCGATCGAAGAGGAGGAGTCGGGGGAGGAGGCCGAGCTCTTGTCCGAGATTCCCCCCGAGCTCGCGCACCTGGAGAACGAGGCCTTCGGTATGCAGTACAAGGCTAAGCAACGGATCGCGGAGGTGAAGAAGATGCGACAGTTCTTTAAGAAACCTGACGGTGGCCCCGACAAGGACGAGCGGAAGAAGCTGATAGCCGAGCAGATGAAGGTTCGGCCCTGTCACACGTGTGGACAGCTGGGTCACTGGTCACGTGAATGCCCCGCCAATGGCAAGAATGTGCAGGCGGTGTTGGCGACGAAGTCGTCCAAGACCTTGGCTCCCGCGATGGCGGCCGCACCTCCTCAAAGCAGCGAGTGGGACCTTCTGGCAGCCCTCTACCAAGGAGGCCTTGTGTCGCAGCGAGGGGCTTCCGATGAGGCGGCATACAAGGGGTCCGTGCACAGGGTGTACTCTGTTGACTTTGATCTGAGGGAGGTGATGTGGTCGCTCAAGGAGTTAGCTTTCAAGGTGATCCTCGATTTGGGGTGTATGAGGTCGGTGGCGGGGGTTCTCTGGGCCAACGAAGTGCTGCAACGCTGGCATAATGAGGGCCGTTGGTATCGCATTGAGAAGGAGTGTGAAGCGTTCAAGTTTGGGGGTGGCGAGGTCTTGAACAGCAAGTACCGTTTGTCCTTTGTGGGGAGCTTTGCGGGCAGGCCAGTGACCTACGGCTTCAGCATAGTGGAGGGGAAGTGTCCACCGTTGTTTTCACGTTCGGGATGCACGCAGCTTGGTGCGGTGATTGACTGTGAGCGACATGCGGTATCATCACGTAAGCTTGGGGTCAGGACTTATGGCGTGGGCCGGGAGAGCGGGCACTACACTATGAGTGTGGATGAGTGTGACGTTGGGAGTGTCGAGCTGCCTGAGGATTTTTCCATGGCCCTCACCCTGGATGCCGTGCCCGTGTCCGATGCAGTTTTGCAAGCCAAGCCCGTAGCCTCGGAGCCGGATCGCTCAGAGAATGGCCGCCAGCGGTGTTCCTCTGTGCAAACTTTGCAGCAGCCCCGAGCACAAAACGCGCCAATGCCCGATGATCATCGAGGACTCGGACGACGACTTCAAGAAGGTGGACGCAGCGATGCCGGACTCGAACGGCGGGGCCCCGGCCACAGACAGCCCCGATCAAGGGCCGCAGAACATTGGAGGCGACACCTTTGGAAGCCACCGGGCTGACTGCGGACGAGGTGGAGATGCTTCGGAAGAGGCGGGAGCGGCAGGCTATGGCCAAGGCCAAAGTCGTACAGAGCAGGGCTCTAACGGGTGTGAACGCGGACTACCCGAGCCTCAGCCATGCCTGGAGCTACGAGTTGGCCTACAACGTGACGGCGGCCTTGGCGAGCCGTATGCGGGCCTTTCTGTGGAAGAAGGTACTATGGCAACTTCGGGCGAAGCGAGCGATCGAGGCCGACGGGGACAAACGATGGAAGAAGAACCCACGCTGGCTGAGCCACCTCTTTGCCAAGGAGATCGGAGCGGTGTGGGGCCACTTCGGGGCCATGAGGCAGAAGATCAACAACCCGGACGTCTGGCACCTGATGTGAAGAATCATAGGCCCAACCGGGGCCTCACACAGCGCCTCAAGGCTGGGGTTCGTGCCGGGAAGGAGGTGACAGCAGCGGTGCATCAAGCCGTGGCGGTTGATAGCCGTTGGCGTGTGATGGAGCTGTTCGCTGTGGTGGGGATTCTCACTCTATGTGCTGGTGTTCGTCCGGGGTGGGTCGGGCTGAACCTGGAGGACTGGCTGGCTGGGCGGGACCTACGCAGTGGCACGGTGGCCAAGGAGCTCTTCGCCTATGTGGAAAAGGAGATGCCGGACCTCTTGGTGCTGAACCCGCCGGGCGACCTTTGGAGCTCGGCTTCTCGGTCTCGACTGGAGGAAGAAGCACTGTGGGAAGAGAGGAGACGTGACCTTCCTATTGCTTTAATTTAAAGCACTTGCTTTAATTTGGACTCATTGCTTTAATTCGGGCTCATTGCTTTAATTTTGGCTCAGTGCTTTAATTTTGGCTCATTGCTTTTTTATACAGGGGCCGCGCCGTGGCTCCCATGAACAGAAGCAATATTGCTTTTTTA